AGTCCGGTTCAAGCATGATATTACTACTATCTCTCGTCGGTTCGAAAGAGAGATAGAGAGATATTTGCTGATGCACACGTGCTTTCTTACGTCAAGCTCGTACGCTTTTAACACGACAGGTGAAGACAAAAAGGAAAGAACGCATTCTTGAAAGAAACGACGCGGATTTATTTCCTTTCTTGAAAGCTCTCTTGCAAGTACAATAAACGACGAACGTTCGTCTTGTGAGGAAAAAAAACACGTATTTCTTTATATTAAAATGGAAAGTAACGAGGATATAATTCGGATTTTTATTTCCGAATAATGCGTTTATTACCGAAAAAAAGATTTTTTAAAGATTTTTTGTTGACTTTTAGAGTAAAAGTATATTCTCCGTATTATTTGAATGATATAGCATATCCTTACAGTTGTGATACTTTAACTACAATTCTTACAATTCTTAAGAATTTGAAATATTGTTTCCCTCGATATATAGCGATAAATTTTTAAATTTATATATCGAGAAAAAAATTTATCTGCATATTTATTGAAAAAGAGGAAAAAAATTACCCCCCTCCCCCCGCCCGCCCTCTTTTTAAGCCGTCTACCTAACGGATGACTCTGTAACAGAGGAACGTTGTTAACCGCGTTGATACCGCACAAATGTATTTAACATGTGCGACGTAGAGCCTGGTGAAACCTTTCTTGCTCGCGAGCGAATATAACCGGGTAACTGAAGACACGAGCGAGTTTCCGGACGGGCGGATCCGAGTTGTGGTTTTGTGCATACACACAAACGTTCCTGTGTACACATTCGCGCTGTGTGTATGTACGTGGAAAGATGGAAAGGCTCTTTCTCTGTCTCTCTCCATCTCTCCTCTGTTTCTACAGCTTTTCCCCTCGTCCGTGTCTCCATCAGGAAGGTAAGAAGAAGTTAATCCCGGACCCTTTCACGACGAGAACGCAACGGCGGCATAGTACAAAGGGTCGGAACACGTTACGCAAATTGCGTCTTACCTGTACAATTACGTTTCGCAAACCGACTTGATCCTGTCAACATTCCATTTATTATCCCTAGACCAAAGGGAATATTGATTTTAATAGGAGGGAGAGGGGATAAATGGACCACTTCATAAATTTATATTTATTTGTTACGCAAATTTTGCGTGTGCAGTCAATTTCCGACGTACTAAAGAGAATTCTCAGTTAGATGACAAAACATATGGAAAATAATAATGAGAAAATTAAATAAACTACATTTATAATTTACTTCCTAATTCATATAATTACTTATTTAAAATACTTAATTATATTATTCACTTTAATAGGGGAAAGGGGAATAAATGGACTACTTTATAAATTTATTTGTTTTACGCAAATTTTGCGTGTGCGATCACAATTTCCGACGCAATAAAGAGAATTGTCAGTTAGATGACAAAACATATGGGAAATAATAATGAAAAAAATATATTATTTTTGACGATGAAAAAATTAAATAAACTACATTTATTATAATTTACTTTCTAATTGCTTAACTAAAATACTTAATTATATTATTTATTTTAATAAGGAGAGAGGAGATAAATGGACCACTTCATAAATTTATGTTTTTTTGTTATACGCAAATTTTGCGTGTGTGGTCAATTTCCGATGCAATAAAGAGAATTCTCAGTTAGATGACAAAACATATAGGAAATAATAATGAAAAAAATATACTATTTTTGACGATGAAAAAATTAAATAAACTACATTTATTATAATTTACTTTCTAATTCATATAATTACTTACCTAAAATACTTAATTATATTATTCATATAATTACTTACATAAAATACTGAGTTATATTATTTGTTTATGGAATATTAATTTTATCTATTGTCACTTATAAATTATATTTTATTTCTATTTATTTAATCGTTGAATGATTTACAATTTGCGTAATTAAACATACAATCTTATTCGATATGCATGACACACGCTACAGAGTAATCTAGACGTACGAAGCGGAATTTCGAAAATTTTATACTACCGGTTAAGACATCGGAATTTTCGCCGATAAACTCTCGGCCCCAAGTTTTTCAAATTCCGGAAACGTACAACCCGAGACTGGCAACCGTCCATCGGGAATTTGATTTTAATTTCGCCAAGAGCTGTCGTCGAATCTCTTTTTAACTCGCATTGTGTTCGTTCATTCTTTATTGTTTTTAATCAATTTGCGCGAAACAAACAAAATTTAAAGCCTAGATAGAACAAACGGAAAAATGAAGGAAAAAGAAGAAGAAAAAATAAGCGAAAACGGAAAATAACGAAAAGGTTGAAATTCTTTGATGCGATGTGAAGGAAGAGAATGACGGGGAAGGGAAGTTTGTCACATACATACGCATTCGCACACAAAGCCGGGCATATGGCGCGCATCGACATGTATTTTCTCTCTTCTACATGACTAACGGCATCGAAATTTCAGCGCCATCGCCATAAACTCTGTGGAGAAGCTCGTTTTCGAGAGCGCTTCTTTGGAATACAACGACGTGTATCTCGTTTTTCGTTATCCAACGCGTTTTCGTCGCGTTTCTGTAGCACATACGTCGATGCGGAATTCGAAATTGAGACGCGTCGTTTTAAAGAGCGAGATTCTTCGCGATTCCCTTCCGCATTTTTGTCATTCTTTCGCCGCGATAATGCTTTAAAAATTAGTCATTTCGCCCAATATATTGGATTTTGTAAATTAAAATAATATATAATTACAAACTTAATTTATCCGTGATACCAGGTATAACAAAAATTTTAGTGATTTAATGATGACCAAAAATAGCGTGATTTTTTTATCATAATTACTGTTCACAACGTATTAAAAATTTGTAATTAAATTATTCCCTAGCCCGTCACGTTGCCCTATTCATTCTTGTTAATTTTACATTGACTATTTGCATTAAAAATGTATTTAAATTAACGCACGTGTGTGATTATGAACCAATTTAAATGCACCCTAATGTATAATTACATAAGATTAATTGTTATGTATAAGATTAATTATGAAATCCCTTTCGTGTCAACAATATAATGTCAACAATAATTATATAACGAGAATTTTAATAATATCTCTTCATAGCAGAAAAAATCAGTAATATCAAGATATTTAATAATCCCATCGATAAATAATTCGCAGTTTGTAAAAAACTCGAATTTAACATTGCATCGTGTAGATTGAGAAATAAAATGGATTGAAAGAAGGCGTATTTCTTTTTCTCGTGCACGATGATAGTGAAAATTTCATCGAAAGAGCGAAATCGATGGAGCGTCATTAATGCGATGACGTAGTCGATTTTTCTCTTCGAGAAAATCGGGTATTCGCGATCTCTCTCGGTTAAAAAGAGCGAAATCCGCGCGAAACAAGAAAGAATTATGGAAGCTCCCTCGTGGCGACGTCGATTGTCATGGAAATTAAACGGGACGGGGATGAATCTTTGAAACGGTCGCATTTAGTCACCGAAATTTGGTACAATTCCGTAATTTGCATTACATCAATTTGTCGCATCGCGAAAAATCGTTTCCGCTGACGCAAATCGCGGAATATTTCCTGCGTTTTTCCACGAAATCCTAATTGCCGAGTGGGTCCGACATGAATTTCCGACGCGAATTCTCAAAGGCATTCCCAAAGGAGACGCCGCGTATAAACGATAAAAGGATCATCGTCATAAAATCCGAGAGAGAATTCGAGAACGATAAAAGAGGAGAAAAACGAAAATTGCAGATATTATAATGTACGCGATGACCGGAATATAAGTTTTATAAGTGAAAGAGCCCCGAAAAAATGATAATAATAAAGCGGCATTATGTCCCGTAATTTTTCGACGTCCTGGGTTTTCGCGGTCGCGACAGGAAATACGGGGTCGCACATTTCTGGTAACGAAAACGCACATATTTATTTTAACATTTTACGCGTTCATTGTTCGCGCTTGAAAAATGTACGGTCTCGCTGTTGCGATAAAACGTACGCTTTACCGGGTTATTCGGCGTCGCGTTTAAAGTCTCGTAAACAGCGCGAGGTGCTAGTTATGCGAGACGATAAAACAAAAATGCGTCGCGACCGCAATTTTCCATCGCGCAGGTGGGAGGAAAAAAAAATTGAAAAATGACACAGAAATGTTATGAAATCGTTTATCTTCCACTTCTTCCGCCTTGCGATTTGTCCTGATTATAATTTTCGTAATGGGATAATATAAGCGAAAACGACAGTAATTCTCGGAATATAAAACAGCCATAAAATATTATAAAATGGACGATTATATATAGTATATAATTCAAACATTTTATATATATATAATAGAAATATAAAATTTTTCATGATATATTCTTTTCGTTGAAATTATTAGAGATTATAAATTTCGGAATATAATTTTTAAAATATGATATTTTATTCTACATCAAAATAATATAATTATTCTACATTAAAATAAAAATTGATATATAATATATAATATATTTGTTCATTTATCCACGAAATATATATATATATATATATATATATATATATATATATATATACGAGTATTTCGTGGATAAATGAACAAATATATTATATATTATATATCAATTTTTATTTTAATGTAGAATAATTATATTATTTATATATATATATATATATATATATATATATCCACGAAAATAATAATTATTTATTTAAATATTAAATATAAAAATGATTTTGCTAAACAATATCCTGCAAATCTATCTTACGCAGTTCATTGTTAATATAAACAAATATATAATATTACTAATATATTATATATCAATTTTTATTTCAATGTAGAATAATTATATTATTTTGATGTAGAATAAAATATCATATTTTACAAATTATAATCCGAAATTTATGATCTCTAATAATATCAACGAAAAGAATATATCATGAAAAATTTTATATTTCTATTTAATAAGCGCGAATCGAGTATCGTACAAATTTCTGCAAATCACTATCCAGAAAATAGCCAAGACGAATGATTGCTACTTGCAATTGCAGGACGGCATGAGTCTGCTGCAATTCACGCCGACGGTGGAGGACGAGGGAAAGTTCCTGGTGTGTCGTGCTGAGAATCCGAAGCTACCGGAAGCCGGTATCGAGGACCGATGGAAGCTGCAAGTGCACTGTAAGTACTAGTCAGATGATGATCAATAATAGCGATAATTCGTATTTGCGAAACATAGCTGCGTCACGATACGAAACGGTCAGCGAACAATATTACTATCGCATACACACACAATGTTATACGATATTATTATCGTATAGACACACAAGGCCGTTTATATAAAAAAAAATTATCGGGAAATCGATTCAAGAGCAATGAATGAATTAATTGATTTCTGCGCGAGTTATTTGCAAAGCACGAAGATTCCTTTATTCATATTTTATTTCAGTATCGGCTTAAGCTTCGCTTTCTCTACGCTTCGATAAATTTAAGATTTTAATAAGCTTTAATTTCTCTGTTATTCGTCGTGAGGAAGAAAGCCGGAAACAGTCGGTATTCATGTTATTGTTCCATTGAAGGTCCAGAATTCTGTAAGCGCTCTTTGGGCCACGACGTAAATATGTACTTCGCGTAAGTACGCGTCGCGTTTTCTTCCGGGATATCGACCGTCATAACGACTCTTTTACCAATCACCAGGGGAAAGAATGAATCCGATTATTCCGATAAATTCCGAAAAGCCGGCACACGGGACGAGATCACCGCCAGGACAAAGGCTGCAGGCAGGCGATCGGAATTTCATTCGAACGCGTTCGAATAACGGCCCCATACGATCGCCCTCAGACAAGAACGATCCTCGTAAGTCTCTCGGTCGTCCTTAAAGGAAAATGGCGCTTTTAGAGCAGTGGTATCTTCCCTTCTCTTTTCCTTTTTTCGATGCGAAGAAGTTAAATATTTCGAATTCGAACGCGATAAGATAATTTATTAATATAATGTGTGCATATATATTTAAATAATAAATTTTTTTTAAATAAATTCTATAATATTTACATATTTTCATTTAAAAGAATTTTTTCTGCTATGTATATGTGTGTATTGTTCTATATGCGTATATATTTAAAAATAATTAAAGTACTCTTAAACAGACTTGAATAATCAATTTCGAAGATTACTTATTACCTTCGATTGCAATCGAACAAACAATGATTTTTGTTATTTTAACTTTAGTATACCTTTTGCAAATATTAACTTTAATATACTTTTTGCAAATATTTTTATTTACCAATATGTATAGTTATTATAAAACAGCTGTAAAGAAATATGCATTCTGAAATTAGCAAAATTAATTCCCTTTGGGAAAACAACTAATTTAGGATAACGAAATTACAGTATTAAATGAACGAAAAATAGAATAATTAGCCGAATTTAAATATCCAGTTGGGATACGATAATGAGTTTATTATCCATTAAAAACTTAGCGTAACGCTATCAGATAACGTTACACAGCTAAAGCTAAGCTGTAAACGTTATTAAATTTTCATAAGCTTATTACAGATGTGGTGTAATGATCGTTGTACGAACATGTAGTAAATAAGCTATAAATAATTATTTGATTATACCCTTGGAACTTGAGGAAATTGAAATATAAAGAAAAAACTAACTCGACAGAAGTAATTAAGTTCAAATTATCTTTCAATAATACATCTTTTTCGATTTTTAGCCAATTCATTGTTTTTCAGAAATTAATTTTAATAAATTTGACATAATCATAATTTGACATAATATTAGGAAATAGCGTGATAATATCTGAAGGAATAATTATAGTTGCTATAACAATATTAATTCTCCAACTTTTAATCTATCTGCAAAAGTAAAATCGTTCGATAGCACTTAAAATAAAGCATTTTGTAATATTTCGAATTGAATGGGCTCGAATTTATAAACGTAGCAAAAAATATGGCCATTCGCACAGGGTGGGCACTCACTGCCGCGATACAAATTGGAGCAACACAAATTGAGGTAGGGTTTTGCACAGTTTAATTGCTTGCCTTGACCACGCGGAAGTAAACAGCCGGAAATAATCGTGCGCGGTTAATACCTTCGCCAAATGAAAATGTTCAGAATTACCGATATACCAGTCTGCATCGCTAATAACCAATAATGAGTTTCGGGAATGAAAAACGCGGAAATTTTATCTCATTAGAAATTTCTCGCGGAGCAAAAATTAATTTTTGAGAAATGAATCGAAATCAATTGTAAAAAGAAGCAATCGTATGTATATATAAATATCGTAAGGATTGGAAATTATTTCTCATGTGAAATCAAACGGGAAAATACAATTCCATTTTTTACACTTTATTTTTCAGCGTCGGAAAATTTCAAGATAATAATAAACCGATTTAAATTAAAATCATCGCGTTATGAGAAAATTCGTCGAATAGATATCATCATCGGACAAAGTCATTTTGCAAATTTCAAATTTTAATGCGATTATTCGAACTTGTCATCGTCGCATATTACAATTTTTTTCACAAAAATAAAATAAAACTTCAATGAATATTGCAGTGTTGCAACATGCTCTCGCAGCTTCTTCTTTATATATCTTCTTATATATTAATCCATTTTGATCATTATATTAATCCATTTGACCAATTTTAATCGAAACTATCGTGCAGTCATAAGCAGTCATCCGCGAATATCGGTCCCGCGATAAGCAATATTGGCAATATTACATTTCCCGAAAGTTAGCGTGTATTAGCACGGGACGTCGTTTTCGCTTCAATGATGATACAGAGAAACGCGGGCCTTGCTCAAGGGCCCGTGCGACGCTTTGAGCCGCGGAGTAACAATTTGGATTGCTGGTCTGAAGTGTCCTTGAGTGAACGTAAAGGGATGTTAATTCGATTTCGATAGCTGGCGTGATGCATGGATGCACCAGCGGCAAGATTGCGCACGCAAACATGCATGCGCAGAAAGCAGCTAGTGCTTGCTTAAGCAAGCGGGCTCGAAAGTAAAAGGGGTAAAATGGAAAAGCCTCGCGTGCATATTAACCCTTTGCAGCCTCGCATGGCGAGACTCTTGCGCCTCGCGTTGTCTCGATTATTTTGACATCGTAAAAAAGGTATCTTGTTTGATGAATATTGATTATTTTGAAATTGGAAACTAGGATCAACCATAGTTCAGATTGATTTTTAAATCAACGTTCAAAACGAAGCAAAGGTAATATATTTCTATTACATAAAATGAAATTAATGAGAAATTAAAAGGAAACAAAGGAACCTCGCAAACTGGAAAATTGATTTTGATGATATTTTATGCACGTGTGGGCAAGGGTAAATTTGCAGCCCAAAAATTTCTAAAGAGATTCTAAAGGGAAAAATCACCCTTTATGTTTAGCGCTTTTTATATTCAAAAAGTGTTTACTAGTTTTGTGGCAAGAATACCTCTGTTTAGCCATATAATAAAATTTGTAAAAGATAATTTTTGATAAACAATTTTAAGCAAAATTATATTTTTTTTAAATTTTATTAATGTGATTAAAGGAAAATGTTCTTACGATAAAACTTTTGCGTAAAATATTTTTTGAGTAATTTTCAAGATACGTCGAGAAAAACAAAACAGCGCTCTACATAAAAGGTGATTTTATTCCCTTAGAATTTTTGGTAATTAAAAATTTTTAAATTTATTTAGCCTTTCTACATGTGTGTAAAGTTTCATCAAAATCAGAATTTTTCAGTTCCCATGATTCCTTTGTAAACTAACTAAAGAAACTAAATTTTGACACATTATGCAAATCTTTATTTATTTATATTACAATTTTATATATTTTTTCCTTCTTTGTGTTTTTAACCCTCTATAGACTTGTATGACTTTGAAGTCATATACTAATATATCGATATTTTGTTGATCCAACTCAATTTTTGCTGCAATGTGGCGTATATAATCTTGTTTCATAACATCTCTTTAGTAACTAATAAGATTTTTTATAAGGATTATCAATTCTAACTTGAGATATCAAAGTAAATCCAAAAAAATTTGGATTTGAAAATTATAAATTCGTTGTTAAAATTTGTATTTGGAGGTTGAACTTTGTTGTTTCACGTTACATAAATTTTTTTAAAGCCACGAAAAAATTCGGCCTCTGGAGGGTTAATAGAAAACTATATATTACATCTTTTTTTCTGTTTCCATTATCGCGATCTATTTTAAATACGAATCAGCGCGCGATAATATACGAGAATGACGAAGATCTAAAGTCTTTCGTGGCAGCGCATATTCCCCGTGATTCAATATCCTTCTCACTTTGGTCGCTTCTCTTCCAAAATGCGAGATTACCGTCCGATCCGTTGTGCAACGTTGGGATGCGTAACGCTCACGAATCGGTGGAACGTCTGCTCGCCCTCGCTGCCGAGATACGAGAGCTATCGTTATCCGTTTATTTACGGCTGCCCGTCCGATCAGGCCCGTTCGGCCGCATCCGGTATTATCCTCGCGTCCGGCGTTATATGCGGGCATCTGGCATTAGCTCGACGGTTAATCGCCACCGGTGCAATCGCGAGGAATTCGCGACGGGATCTCGATTGTCCAGCCACGCGAGTCTCATCTATTAATCTGCGTGAGAATATCCCTTAAATCATAATCACGCTTTCGACGATACGTTGGTTGTAACGATCTTGTAATCGCTCTTTGATATCATTTCCAAAAAGGGTTCGCGGAGAAGAGTTTGAATTCACTTGACGATTGCTAGAGAAATGAAAATTATTATTATATACTTCTCTTTTTTATTTTATTAAAATATGTATATATATTTTTTTTTAATTGTCAAAGAGAGATTACAAGATTGCACAATCAATATATCGTCGAATCGCTTAATTATAATTTGAGAAATATTCTCACACGTAGATTAATAGATAAGAAAACTCACGAAGAAAAATATATATTTTTTATAAAATTATTATCAACTCTAACTTGAGATATCAAACTAAATCCCAAAAAATTGAAAATTATAAATTCGTTGTTTAAAATTTGTATTTGGAAGTTGAGGTTTGTTGATTTTACGTTATATAATTTTTTTAAAGCCACGAAAAAATTCGGCCTCTAGAGGGTTAATAGAAAACTATATATTACATCTTTTTTTCTGTTTCCACCCATATATCGCGATCTTATTTTAAATACGAATCAGC